GAAGGAGAAGCAGGGTTGAGACACAAAATGGTCAAATGATGCCTGTGGGAGAAGAAGGTGGAACTGTGCAGGAGAAGGAGGAGTAGTAGGAGGAAGAGGAGTGTGAGGAAGAGTAGAGGAGGAGCAGAAACAGGTAGCACCAAAAGGTTCCACCCCTCCCTGTATCTGCAGCCTCCCCCAGCCCCAGAAGTGTTGCCCCCCCTCACATGCATCAGGTGACCAGGGATCCATGATTTTCACAACGCTGAATCTTGTTTCTGAGCTTTACTGGGCTAAATGTTGGTGCTTTGATTTTTTGCAGGGGTTGAATCTTTCTCTTTTGGAGGGGGTTTTGGCTGAATATTAATGCTTGGGGAGTTTTTGATCTGTGTCTCAATGTTTGGATGATTTTTGGGCTGACTCTTGGTGTTTTGGAGGTCCTTACAGGCACAAGATGCCCAATGACTTTCTGAGACGAACTTGGGTAAAGAGGAACCCCCAGCCCAAAGCACTCTCCTCTTGTTTTTTTCCTCCAACCACGATTTTTCATTCCCAAGCCTTGGCCAGATGGAGGAGGAGGAAAAGCCTTGGAAATCCCAAATGAGGAGGGGCTGCAAACCCAGCCCAGAGAGCTGCATGGAAGAAGGACCCGCCCTGTGCCAGGAAGGCAGCAGGAAGTCCAGCAGGAGCTCAGAGCTGGTGGAGAATCCTCATGGTAGGGAGAAACGCTACAAGTGCTTGGAATGTGGAAAGGCTTTCAGCCACAGCTCCAGCCTGATCCGGCACCAGGTGATCCACACTGGGGAAAAGCCGTACGGGTGTGGGCAGTGTGGGAGGAGCTTCAGTGACAGCTCCAACCTGGTCCGGCACCAGCGGGTCCACACTGGGGAAAAGCCCTACGAGTGTGTGGAATGTGGGAAGAGCTTCAGCAGTAGCTCTAACCTGATACAACATCAGGGGATCCACACCGGGGAGCGGCCCTATGACTGTGGGGAATGTGGGAGGAGCTTCAGAAGCATCTTTATCTTGATGCAACATCAGAGGATCCACACTGGGGAAAAGCCCTATGAGTGTGTGGAATGTGGGAAAAGCTTCAGCCAGAGTTCCAGCCTGATCAGTCATCAGGTGATCCATACAGGGGAACGGCCCTACACTTGCTTGGAATGTGGGAAGAGCTTTGGGTGGAGCTCTGAACTGAGAAAACATCAGCTCATCCACACTGGGGAGAGGCCCTATGAGTGTCCTGAGTGTGGGAAGAGGTTTAAGACCAGCTCCAATCTCCTCCTACATGAGCGGATTCACACAGAGGAGAGGCCCTTCCACTGCCCCGACTGCGGGAAGGGCTTCAAGCACAACTCCAACCTCACCGTCCACCGGCGCATCCACACTGGGGAGAGGCCCTATGAGTGTCCCCAGTGTGGGAAGAGCTTCTCAGACAGCTCTCACTTGACCCGACACCAACGGAGGCACCACTAAGGGAAGCCCTGCGAGTGCCCCGAGTGTGGGAAGAGCTTCGTGCGCTGCTCCAGCTCCATCCCCCATGGGAGGATCGGCGTTGGATGCTCCCCAGTGACCCCTGTTGGGCAGAGCCCTGGTGATCCGTGGTCCTGGTGATCGGTGTTGGGAAGACACCTGGCTGGGAGGCTCCACATCTTCCTGGCTCCCCATGGGCACCTGGATGAACACAGGGGCAGGAACATCCATTGGGACACAGACCAACAATGGAATTCCTTGGGATTTGTTGACTTTCAATCCCAGAAACCTTTTGCATTCAATCCTATCTTCTGGTGCCATCAAGTAATACTGGATAGTTTTGGAGGTCTTTTCCAACCTCTGTAATTTGATGATTTTGATTTCCTATGGCCCAAGGGTGCCTTCCTCAGCCAAATGCTAATGAACTGGGTCAAAGATCAAGATTTTGGAGACAGTGGGGTGGAAACCTCCCCAGACACCTTCTTCCCTCCCAACCAAGCACATGGATCCTATTTGGACACAGACACGGGAATCCTTTTGTTTTGGCCTTGATTTGCTTTTAATTTCTCTTTGTCCCTTTAAAATATCCAACATTTGGGTAAAAATAAAGACATTGAACTAAAACATGGGTGGGGACATTGAGGGACAGAGAGTTGGTGGGACAGACATGGGTACACATGGACATGGATGGGGATGTGGCCATTCATGGGGACATGGGGGGACACCGGCACAGATGGAGACGTGGGGGACAGTGACAGGGATGGAAACACAGTGGGGACACAGCCATGGGTGAGGACATGGTGGGACATGGCCAGTGACATGGTGGGCCGTGGCCATGGCTGCTGCCATGGGGGGAACTTACAGGGGCTGTGGGGGATGCTGTGTTTGAGGGAGTTGAGGGTTCCTGGCAGGGACTTGGGGCTTGCTGAGGGCTTTGGGGAGCCCAGGCCGAGCGGCTGCGGCTGCGCTGGGAGCCCCTGGCAGAGGTTCTGGGGCAGCTGCTCAAGGACCCCCTGGCCTGGAGCCCCAGCCGGGCGTTGGGCTCCTGGAAGGGAATGAACGTCCTTGTGCCCAGGAGGGAAATCCCAGCACCCCCAGGGTGTGGGGGGCAGCTGAGAGGCCACAGCAGGGAGGGAAAAGCCCGAAAGAGCTGTCCCCCTCCACAGGGTGGAGGTGCACAACTGCACCCTAAAAATCCCAAAACCCAGGGATTCCTCCCAGGAAAAAGCAGCCAGGAGCTGTCCAAATTGGGTGATAGGCGGGATGGGACGCACAGATGGAGGAGGAGGGGCCTGGAACCTCCAAAACCAAGCAGGATGGACTAGGGTGGTGGATTGGGAGCCAGTGGGGAAGGGGTGGAAGAGCAGGGTAGAAGAGGGGCCTGGGACCCGCAAAGTGTGGGACAGGGAAACCCGAATTGCATTGGTAGGGATCTGTGGATTGGGGGAATGGTGAGAATGGGGACAGGGGGAGAGGGAAGGGCAGGGTTGGGTTGGGTTGAAAGAAATGTGGTTCCCTTAGCACTCGATCCCTGGGGCGATTCCCTGCAGCTTGGCAGGGGGCAGATCCGCATGGGGCGTCCCCAAGCCACCTGCCCATCCCAGCGTGTCCATCTCGCTGGTGCCCTCGAGCTCCCAGCCCGGCCCCGGCCACCTGCTCTGCTCCCTGATGGATTTCTCCCCTGCCCACATCCAGCTGAGCTGCTCCCAGGGCCAGCAGCAGCTCTCGGGCCACGTGCTGGCCACTGCCGTGCTTCCCAGCGGGGACTGGAGCCAGCAGCTCCTGGTGCTGCTGGAAACCGCCCCCGGCAATGCGGGCTCAGCTCCAGCTGCCAGGTGGAACACGTCAGCCTGGAGCACCCCCTGAGCCGGCACTGGGGCACGGCCCGGCCCCCACAGCGCCGGCAGGGGCTGGCAGGACACGGAGGGGATTTGGGGCTCCTGGGATTAACTGGCAGCCCCTCATTGAGAAACCACTTCCCCCTGTCCTACCTCTCCTTATCCCCCTCTCCCAGCCCTTTCCCACCGCCTCCCGGCCCCGCTCCGCTCACCCCAGAGCTCCTCGCCAGCAGCCGAGAGATGGAGGAGGAGGGGAAGGAGGAGGAGCGGGAGGAAGAGGAGGGGGAGAGGAGGAGCAGGAACTGCAAGAGGAGCAGCAGAGGAGGCCCCAGGTGTGTCCGTCGCTCTCTGGATCTGCAGCCCCTTCGCACCGAGAACATCGGGCCCAGCATCCCGCAGGTGACCGGGAAGGGGAGCGCCACCCCGAATATCTTGGGCGGTCCTGGCAGGGCTTTTTTGAAGGGTGGAGGGATATTTGGAGCTCACCCGAAGTATCTTTGGGGGTCCCTGTTTCTTTTTTTCGGGACGGGGCGGGCGGAGCGATGTTTGGATCTTGCAGGACTCCAAAGTGGACCCGAAATCCCTCTGGGTGGGGAAACACTCTGGGAGGTGTTTTTTTTTGGGATGTCCCGGTGGTGGCTGCCGGCAGAGTCCCGGCAGTGGGTGGGGGATGGAGGTCCCCGAAGCCACGTGGCGATCGCCCGGTACCAGCAAGGGGGAGAGGAGCAGCCTTGAGACTGGGGAAATCGAAAAGGGTGGAGCCCCAGGAGTCCCGGAGCCTGAAATGGAGGCCTGGAGAAGGGAGAACCCGAGAGCCGGGAATGAGGGAGCCTGGAGAAGGGATGAGCCTGGAGAGGGGGAACCCCTGGGACACCAAAATGGGGACCCCAGAGAGGGGAGACCCCTAGGACCCCCAGCACCCCAGAGCAGACAGTCAAGGTAGGAGAGACCCCCAAACCCTCGGCATCCCTTAGTGGTACTGCAGAGAGGGGGACCCATGGGACCCTCATCAGCCCAGATATGGGGGATTCCCAGAATCCCAAAGTGGTGAGACCAAGTAGGAGGGACCCCTGTGATTCCCTGGAAGCCTGGAGCAGGCAGAGACCCTGCAAAGGAGGGTCCTCCAATATGTGCAGGAGCCACAGCATCCAGGACAAGGGGGACCCCCAGAACCCCATAGTGAAGACAGCAGAGAGGAGGAACCCCAGGGAAGGATTTTTTCTTCTTAGACCTGAAGTTTTGGAGGTTTTCATGGACACAAGATACCGGGTGACTTCTAGAGATGGACTTGGACAGGAGGAACCCCCAATCCTAGGTGCTCATCCCTTGTTTTCATTCCTAAGGTTTGGCCGAATGGAGGAGGCAGTGAGGAAGCTGCTCTGGGACCCCCAGGCAGATGAGGAGGAACTTACTGCCCCTTTCCCATTCTCTTCTGCCCCATCTCCCAGCCCAATATTTCCCTGAGCTGCAGGACAGCCCTGCTGCCAACACTGTCCTGCCAGGGACAGATTGAGCTGGTCTCCTTCCCTTTCCCTCTGGCATGGAGGCAAATCCCATTTTTTCTTTCCCTCCCTCTCTCCCTCCCTCCCTCCCTCCCTCCCTCCCTCCCTCCCTCTC